TATTTGCAAGTTTAGTAATTGGTGTTTGACTACTTCGCAAGCATATCAGTACTTCTATTGTTGACTGTAGAGTTGAGTCGTAAGCTATTATGCAGATGTATATTGGTATATTGTGATTTTCTTAATATCGTCTCTATAGACGCTCCTGTTCGCTGATTATTTTACATTGTAAGTGTTGTGTATCACAGTCGTGTGATACTCTAAACATGTAGCTTGTAAATACAGCATTTTTCAAAGTAGGGACTATACTGAAAAAAATAGTGCAAGTTTACTGTGGTCGCTTGCTCCTAGCTAAATTAAAGGTAAAAGCAGAATTCTAGAACTGATTAGGTTTTTGGAAATTATATTTCACCGATTATTCAATCTTCTCGTAATGCAGTTTTCTTCGCATTTATCTCTGTTAATGACCTACATAATCCTCGTGACATACATCTAGTGTACAAGCCGAGGGTGTGCAACATTGATCTATGCATGCCACTACTTTGTAATCTAGACTGTTAGAAGGCAAAATGTTCTTGTTTGTAGTTAGTCGCGATAAGAGTCAGTAGAGTTGTGGTAGTTTTTATTTGTATTCGTATATCTAGGAGCAAAGCTGTACATCACTCTAGGTCAACAGTAACTCTGACCATCAAGTGTAAGTCTCAAAATGCTTTTCTGCTAACACCCTTGCTTTATTTACGAAAATTGGCCTTCTGAAGGTTGGATGTCCGATGATGCTACGTCATTGATGAATAACGTCCCTAGAGGATTATCTATGTCCCCTGACAGTAACATGTAATTCGTTCTGTGTTGAAGTTTCATGTTTCAGCATCTTAAGGTCTACTTGTAATATAATCTTAGGACAAAGTATGCTGCAACTTCAACGTTCAGTTGGGTGACTTCCCTACTCATCTCTGGTTCTGAGTCTAGTTTAATTGAATGAAGTGGTGATAATCTTGACGAAAGATATTTTAAATCGGTACATGGTGCATAGTTATTTGCTAAGTGGAAGCCGAGAAATCATGTTACTCAATGGTCTGAAACATCCAACATTTCTTAAGACTGCGATCGATAGAGATTACGCTGCAATTACTGTTTCGTTGACTTTGTATGACCAGATCTGTATTCATCCCTTTCGCATATCGACCAACTTTATCTTGTGTAACACCTTGTCGTTTGAGAGAGGTAATGTCCCGGAGTTCTTACTCGCCTAATATGGTTCTAGAATGCACTTTTTTATTTCCTTCACGTTCCCAGTGGAACATAGGGTTTCAAGCTGAAGGCTTAAAGCTTCTGTTGCAGTGTTTATTTATACAGGATGCGGTTGCTAGCGTCATGCCCAACCTTCCCTATTTACTAGTCTAACTACTGGGTAAGTGAGTTGAAGGAGTGCGTCGGCCGGTGATCGAACCCGGACCATTTGCATGGTCGGTGAGCATGCTAACCGCTGTGCCACCGAAGCACAAAGTGCAGCCGGTTTGGATAAAAGTTGTACAGGTGGTCAGATGAGAACATCAATCCGTGAAGTCATGTTTTTCAACAAAATATGTTAGCGAACAACATTGTTTACCATCAGATATCATCAGACTCTACGCTAGTGTACAAAAAATTATATTGTAGAATAATTTTATTTGATAATAATCACACAGTATTATCCACTAACGACGTTTCCACAATGACAATGTATTGCTCATAACCATATAATTTGTGGTAACAGGGGGGGGGCGGGTAATCGGAAGTAGCATGATTATACAAACCAATGTCCAGATAGATGTAGTAGATAAATAGTCAGAATAAATAATTCTAGGTTGTAAGGAAGATGCCATTAGGCCGAGGAAGAGTTTTTTAAGACAGGGATTAGAGGTTCATTAGGAATGGTGGTGACATAGTCATATGGTTAGATCTTCACCGGCAAAAGTGATAATGGCTGTTGAGCTTCTGTTCAAGGTATTCAGTATCGCAGTATCATCTGCATACTCTTAATCAACTACACTGTTTCCTGGTAAGTCAATTCTTGAGTTTCTAACTTCGATTCAGTTGGAAAACGTATCGTGAAGTTAGGCAAAAATGGAGAGAATACTCATCTCTGGTGAACATCACTGATTGTTATAACTTCAGATGACAACTCTGCATTAGCTCTTCCATGGCTGTATGAGTTCGACTAAAGTGTCTCTATCAGTGTGATATGCTTTCTTGATACTCCCTTCACAACCAGAGATTGCCACAACACCTCTCGGTCGACGAAGTCAAAATACCTCCATGTCAGGAAATATGACAATATATATATATATATATATATATATAGAGAGAGAGAGAGAGAGAGAGAGGTTTGATCACTTGAACATATACCTTGGCTTCCGTGTATTGCCTGTTTCTGCCACAAACTTACATTATAATGGTAGCTGTTTTTACTGTAACTGCAATCCAAACGACCTTATTGGCATAGTAGGACCTACGGGAACATTAGTTCCAGCCAGTGTTGCTCTTTGGGTCACTGCAATATGCAAGCCTGACCACCACTTCAAGGTAGCAACTATCAGTCAATTGGGAGATGTTTAGTTATGCACTAGCTAGACGGTCTAGTAGTACGTCCAACATAATCGTTTTCCCAAGAGCAGCTGAAATAATAAATACTCATGAATGTGGCAAAATTATCTAGTTTATCATTCGTTGATTAGAAAATGGCAAATGCAGACTTGTCATTTAAAATATTCTCCGTGTATTTCTGGTTAGTATCTGCAACAAGCCCGTTGATGGCTTCTTTCCATAGTCCATTTTCAAGTTTTACATGGAAGAAGTTTACCAAAATCGGATCCAAGAGTGAGCCAATAGCGATTCTGTGTACGTATCAGTAATGTATATTGTTCAAGATTGTCTACATTTAAGGAGTAATTGTCTGAGACTAGACAGAGGAATTACCATGTCAATTTTCATTTCAGTGATTTGTTTGTATATAAACTTGAGTAGCATAAGACTCAGCATATCCCTTTCTCACTGATTTATAGTCTATCAAACTGTTTTGACGATACCAGTATCAAGATCGGACCTTGATGAATAAATCATCAACACCTGATCAAATAAGTTATGGTGAATATGACGTGTACATTGGTATCACAAATTTGTCAGGTCCAGCTCATCGGCATATGCTTTTTTTTTAACTTGATTTGAAAGTTCAAGGGTGTGAATATAGATTAATAGGGGCTTAGGAACAAAATTATACAGGATTAGAAAATAGCTTTTAACGAAAAAAGTTGTGAATGGGAAGAGTATGGAGACAGGTTGAAAGAATAATATTTTATAACTGATAATGGAAAAAAATGCAGGGGATGTAAAAACGAGATCTAAGGAAACAAACTGAATTAGTTTCTTTTAAACCCAAAGCTTCTGTTTTTCAGTGCATATAGTGAGGGCTTCTGCAATACAAAAAAGTTAGAAACATGCTGCCTTTGGTAGCTTTTTTAAATAACTTTGAGTGATTAGTTAGTTGAGATATTGTGACAGGCGTTGACGAGCCGCTCAGTTAAGGCGCTTCTGATTGAACCGGTGTTTCCTCTTTGCAGCTATGCTGGGTAATGTTCTCTAACACGTTTAGATGAGATCCACATAGAACGACCTACCTATGTCTGTCTGTCTGTTTTCGACATAGAACTTTGCACAAATGTGCGGAAGTTCAAGTCGCCACATTCCGTGTAGCACGCGAAGCAAGAGAAGAAAGTACAAGAAAAGCATAATAGAAACAGTGAGCAGAGGTGTGAGACAAAGGAGTAATAAAGAAATACAAAACAGTTTCATTGAAGATCATAAGTCACAGGGAGTGGATGCATCTGCGCCACTGAGAACGATTTTGAGCCATGTCACCAATTGTTTCCAACCATAGATTTTTACCGTCCCGAGGACCCCAGCCTGGAAGTCTACACCTTTCTACGTGGCTTAGACCAACTGTTGTGGATTTCATTGACTGATGCCAAGTTTTTGTTTGACCGCCGCTAGCTTTTTTCCAGCCTGACCCTATATCCGCTAACATAGCTCGTCGAGGGAGGCGATGGCTTGGCATACGTAACACATGTCCTAACCATCTCAGTCTTTGTAGCTTCACGACTTCGTCGATTGATTTCCCCTGTTTACCTAGAACTCTACGCCTAACCTCCATGTTGCTCACCTTATTATGCCACTTTACACGGGAAATAGAACGCAGGCACCTATGATCAAAGACAGCTAGTCTTTTCATGTCTTCCACTCTCAGTGGCCAGGTCTCACAACCATAAAGGAGGACGGAGCGGACTGATGAGCAGTACACCCGCCCTTTGGTCGATAGTCGAACATCTCGTCTACGCCAGAGTCGGCGTAAACTAACAAATGCGAAACGAGCCCCTTGTATTCGTGCTGAGATTTCGTCAGAGATCAGCCCGTTGGGGCTGATGGTACTTCCCAAATAAGTGAAGCGGTCAACGTGCTCTACCACTTCACTTCCTATTTTTAAACTAGGCGTCGATGTAGTCCAGTCCTGTAACATCATCTTGCATTTGGCGGGAGCGAATCGCATGCCAAACATTCGTAGATTGCGGCTCAAGGTGTTTAGAAGACTCTGCATTTCGTCAGCGTCTTCGCCTAGAAGGACTATATCGTCTGCATATTCCAAGTCAACGAGATTATTCCCCGGTAGCAAGTCAATCCCTGAGTCGCTGAAGTCACCTAGGGTTAAGTCCATTAACACATCTATGATGAAGTTGAATAGAAAAGGAGATAATGGGCATCCTTGACGGACACCACTGGTCGTCATCAGTTCAGATGACAGCTCGCCGTAAGCCCTCACCTGGCTGTATGAGTACGAGTAGAGTGCCTTAATCAGTGCAATATATTTTCTTGGAATTCCCTTTACAGCCAAGCATCTCCAGAGAACTTCCCGATCGACAGAGTCGAATGCTGCCTTTAGGTCAAGAAATATAATGACTGTTGGACGCCGGTAGGAATGCCTATGTTCTAGAATCTGTCGGAGGGTGAAGATATGATCAATACACCCTCTTCCTGGTCTAAAGCCTGCCTGGCTCTCTCGTGTTTGTGCTTCCCGAGCACCACTCAGTCTACGCATGATTATTGAGCCTAAGACTTTAGATACTATATTAGTCAAGCTAATCCCTCTGTGATTATCACAGGAAGACTTGTCTCCCTTCTTGTATATGGGGATAATCAGTGACTTACACCAACCCGATGGGACTTCTTCTGATTCCCAGACGCTGCCTAGTACCTCAGTTAATCCGGACAGTAAGCTGTCTCCACCGTACTTAAATACCTCTGGAGTCATTCCATCAGGTCCCGCTGCTTTGCCTAGTTTCAGATTGGTGACAGCTTTAGTAACCTCAGTTAGTGACGGAGGACCTGTGTTTATATCCCATTCAGGGAGGTGTTGGATGCTCGGAAGGTTGAGCGTGGCTGTGGGCAAATTAAACTGCTCCTCATAATGCTCTTTCCAACGATCCAGTCGTCTATCCTGGGAGCTAATTATAGTGCCATTTTTTTCCGAGATTGTCTCACTGATGATTTGTCTTCTCCCACCCGTTTCCCTGATGAGTCTAAAGAGTTGCCTGGTGTTGCCTATCCTCGAAGCTTTATCCATCTCTTTGGCTTTTGTCGCCCACCCAGTTCCACACGACCAGGTGAATTGATGTATGCACAGTGAAGTGGTCATATGTGAGATTCTGCCCTTCACATTGCTTTGAAGCAGTGGGCGGCTGGAGAATATCACTTTTAGAGTTGCTGCAGGGAAGGCTTTCTTTAGGGAACTGGAGACTATCCCCTTAGAAATATCTGCAGCCAAGTGTCTCCTAAATTCCAGATTTAAATATAGTGTTTTCTTGGGCACTAAAGTGCATTCTTCTCTTTTTGGCTTTAGTTTCATCTTCTTCCAGATGAGGCGTGCAGGGCATCCATTTTGAGCCAGTATATTTTAGAGAATTAGCAGCTTTCTGAGCAGTCACTGCTGCAAATTCTTCTAATATGGTGGACCAGAGATATGATGAGAGTTGTTTTTCGGCTGATAGGTATCCAGCTGCAGGAGTTTGTCAGCTGGCCATTCGAAGATTGCTTTCTGTGGATAGATCTTTTCAGAATTCCATCATCTCTTCTTGTGTATTCGACGTCCAGAAATGCAATTTTCGCTTCATTTTCAAGTTGCATCGTGAATTTAACTGAAAGTTAACGTTCACAGATAGTACGAAGTATACTAACGTAAGATCTAATACCCACAACTTCTATAGTTCTAGGTAGATCAAAGGCAAAGCAAAACACCAGAACTGACCGTCCCGTTTGTTCTTCTTCAAAGTAACATATTCATCATACGATTCTCTTTTATTTGATGATAATTCTCAAAGAGCAGAAGACCTCAGAGATATTTTTCTCTGCAACCCGAACATACTCTAACTAATAGAATCAATAACGTTTTTCATGTGAATTTGTGGAGTTTTAGAACTGAAATAAATATGACATCACCGGGATGCCTTCCAGAATCACTTTAGATATTGTGACTCTTTTGACGGTCTTCAAAGAAGTCCAATTCTGCGTTCACTTCGGTAACTTTGACGGAGTAACGCAGGAATCCACTGAGTTTTTTCACTGTCGAAGGGTCAATCCATTTTTTCCATTCGTGGAAACTGTCTATCAGGGTACAATATTTTGACTCGGTCCTCTGAAGTGTCAAAATCCAAATTATCAAACATTCCACCATGTACAGCTCGATAATAATTCGTAGAAAATTCTTTTCAGTAACTATGGTGTTCTTACACCATGAGAATAAAATTATTTTTCTTTGTATTCCTTATGCTACTTAAGTTTGATAAGTAGTGTGAAATGTTTGTGAAAAGTCTTCCAACAATTGCATGTATATCCATAGAAATGTATCTCCTTTTGTATGAAAACATTGTATTTGTAAACTTTTAAGACATATCAATATTTGTCTGTACTAATTTTGAATAAGTAATTAATGGTTTATTAGTATATGTTATGTTTTTTCCGTTTGTAAACTGGCATCCCTCAGGTGCAGTGAGAATAAATATTTTTGAAATCTGCCCTCATTAGCATACATAATTTGCTTAAGTTAAAGTTATGCATTCTGCTAATCTTACTTTGCACCTCCTAGGAGTATGTATCGGAATATTCTTATATTATTACCCCGATTTCCTATGCTTTTGCTCCTGGACAGCCCTGACAGTCAAGTATTATTATTAGCCTCCAACTGGAGCCCTGCGTCTCTTTTGCTTTTCTTTTACAATGTAACTGGCGTCTCAGTCTTTATGAAAATGGTTCATTCTTTCACAAACAAAAGTTCATTCGTCATTTCGATGACAACCACTTTCACGAAATTAAATAAATTAATTACGCTGCTAATTCCTTGGACACAATTTACGATTTTATGCAACTCTTTTCCCTACCTACGATTTGTAATTAATGTTATGAAATTTTTTGTTTTACACCGTGCACCTACCTATCATCCCTCAGTTCTTTTACTTCTACGTGTTCCGTCGTTAATACCATATATCTTGCAAAAGCTGTTGTTCTGACAGCTTTTTATTGTTCATAGGCTAGTGGTAACTATCAACTTCCACTTCAGGTTTTATCTCCCATTTCAATCCTTCCACTAGTTGCCCTCAAAATCACAATTGTATCAATCGCTTTATGTACATCATAATCGAGGTGTTTAATCAACTTATATACCACGTAATACAGGATTCATCTTAATTTAGTTATCAGTGTCTGTCTAACTCGTATCTTGCGAATATCATGCAATTTATGACTCATTGTTAAAAATTTGATTCCCCTACTTGGGTCCTACCTCAGTCAAATAGATAAGTATTTATTGACCTACATCTCTCAGTATGGCTAATTAGGGTATAATGAAAACCACCAACAGTTCTATATAAGACCATCTGGTCCAAACTGGCCACAAAGCCAGCGTTGGAGAATCCTTCTCTATCATCTACCGGGTGCCAAATAAATTGCCAAAAACATCGAAGCACCGCATTCTCCAAACAGCAGAGGCTATTGCGATACGCGTTAAACAACCAGTGCTTTGTGTGAAGAAGAAGCAAGTCCAGCCACTACTACTGCCACGGCCTGCAGTAGAAACTATAAATTAATGAATTTGTAATATTATCCTTCCTAATTCTTCTGACATTCAGATTATTTTATGTTGATGCTATTGAGCTGTAATCTATCAATATTATTGATTCGATATTATTTAAACATTAATGTTGTTCATAACACTAATTCATTCATTCACTATTATTGGTGTATATATAACTGTAAAGCCTGATGATGAAGTTATCGAAAATGTGAATATTCTTTGTTCAGTATCCATTCTTTTGAAAATTTTAATGGGCATTTTTCATCAGTGATAATAAATATCTTTTTTATGGATTTAAAGATATCTCTTCGTTGATTCCCATATCGTATTTATTCACGAATCAGTATGAAATACTTATTCTTGAAAGTATCTGTTTTATTTCCTCAAATTCTTATCTTACATATATATATATATATTATATATATATATATATGAAGAGATTTTGCATTCTTACACATGCTTAATTATTCCTATTGTCGCTAAATAGGCTAAATGCCACTAAGCTATATCAACATTTGTAGTCACTTTTAAGACCAGTTTGCTCCTATTTTAGGAAACACACTACCGAGTAATAAATAAGACATAGGAGATAATGTTAGTTTACCTTTAAAAGTTATCTACGTGATACATTCCAATCTAATAGTTTATTGAAAAAAAACCCTGAGATTTCTGTTAGTATGAATTCAGCTTCAACCAACCATTCTTCAGCTATATGCTTTTCTGTCTGAATAGTAAAATTGTTACTACGTGACGCCAATTTTTAAAGAATGTCTATGCTCAGTTGCAATGTTCCTCGTTCTGGACTGTCACATACGTGAAGCAAATCATGAACGTTGTAAGCTGTATTATTTTAACTGAACATGGCTTTGTAATCGTCTACATATTTATTCAAAACATTCTTCTCACCACCTAGAATACATTGAATAACTGAATATGTAACCAAAGAAGAGCGACTTAGGACTGTGCAAGAACTGGCGAGGAATCATGCTGCTGTCGACGCCAAGTAAAATCCTGAGTTGCGTCATCCTGGAAAGAATAAAGGACGCACTGGATACAGGACTCCACCCCACCAGAACAAGCTGGATTCAGGAAAGGCAAATCATGTTCTGACCAAATTGAAACTCTACGCATCATCATCACAGAACAAAGCATGAAATAGTAATCAAACCTGTACCTCAACTTTATAGACTTTGAGAAGGCCTTCGACAGCGTTGACCGTGAAGTAATTTGGAAACTACTCGAGTACTACGGCGTACCCCAAATATCCATCAACCTTATTCAACAGCTGTACGACAACGGCACATGTCAAGTGATCCACAACGGAAGACTCAGCGAGGCGTTTGCAGTAAACACAGGAGTCAGACAAGGGTGTTGGCTTACTATCACCAATGATATTCCTAATTGTGGTGGACTGACTGGATTATGCGTCAGACTGTGGGAAACGAGAAGACAGAGATATCCTGGACCGACTGACGTGAAGAACCAAGAAGACCTGGATTTCGCGCGTGGATGACGTATGTTTGATGTCACTATCACAAAATCGAAGACTTACAAGCGAAAACCGACAAACCGGTCTAAGAAGCAGGCGGCGAATACATGACTCCAAGTGAACATAGACAAGACGGCGGTGATGAAAATAACCAACCAACAACAACAACAGTAGCAGCAACATCCAGCGCCAATCACCATCAACGGGAGGGATTTGAATGAGGGTACTTCATTCACTCACTTATCTAGGGAGGGAGCATTGTCTCAACTACAGGGAGTCGGAATGGACGAGGATGTCAAATCAAGCGAGAATCGGGAAGGCGAGAAACACATCAACCTGAAATAAATCTGGAAGGATATCTTCGTCACTCAGCCAGCATCAACAACAAAATTCTGTCGGATTCTCAATACAAACATCAAGTCAGTCAGCTCTTCTATACGGATCAGAAACTTGGCGGACGGGTTACAAAGAATATTTCCAACAGCCTGTTGCAGACCTTTGTCAATAACTGTCTTCGCTGGCTCTATACTGAAGATCAGATGGCCGGGCCTGGCCGGAGAGAATCACCAACAAGAAACTATGGGAAGAAACAAACAAAACAAGAACCAATCGCCCAACAACAACAAATATGCGGGAGAAAGTGGAGATGGATCGGACACTCACTGAGGAGGCCGCCGCTGGGTGACATCACGCGCGCGTCAGGCCATTGCTTGAGTGGAACCAGGCCGAAAGGGAATCGGCGGCGAGTGGGACGTTAGTTCAAGGGTGACATGGAGGAGATCGTGTGAAGAGGAGTTGAAAGAGTATGGACTAACATGGATGCAGGTGAAAAGTACAGTAGAAGACAGAAGCAAGTGGAGACGTGCAGTTGAAGCCCTATTTTCCACTAGAAACCCAAGGGAACAATAATATTAATGAATAAATCCATGAAATCAATATAAAAACGACCGAGTAAAGTATTCAAAAGTCAAGTACTGCAGAAAGATGTGACATTCTGTAGCTTTCCATTTGTCTATCTCAGT